TACCTGTAACCCTATACCCCCCACCCTTCGGAATCTGCCCCTGGCACCAAACGTGTGCCAATGAAATACCTGTGCATCTCTAAGGGCCTTAGGGCACTCCCCTAAGCTTAGGCTACTTATATTCCCCCACACCACGTGTCCGCGTGAGAGAGATCGCCAGATTCCAGTGGCCAGCATGCCAATCCTCTCTCCCCGTGTTCCCAGAATAAAGGCCTCTTTTGTTTTATACTCCTCATCTTTTGGAAATATTTTTCATCCTCTGGAAATAATCCTATCAGCCAGGTTGGGTAAAAGGAAGTCTGGAATGTAAATTTGACTAGCAGAAGACCTAAAGGAGCTCTAGTGCAATTGCAAGAGTACAACTGTGAAATCAGACTTCAACTTGTGACAGTGCCAGAATTCAGTGGCATTATTAGAGACACAGTTCCTGTCTCCAGAGGTGAATAGCATATTGTAGGCAAAGAAAGAAACTACCACATATATTTGCTGGAAGTGTTATAGATAAAATCAGTGCTATTGGCCTCTCCTTAGGTGTGACAGTTTACACTGTCCATGCTACGTTGCACATAAATCCCAAGTCTGGCACCTGGACAGAGTTTAGGCTCAGTACCACTCTAAAACTTATCCAGCCTCCCCTAAAGTCTGCATTCCTCAGAGTGTTCTTCAAACAGCTACAATAAACTCCATACAATTCAACATCTGGCCAGGCAGTCATTCTCAACTTCATTGGTGCAGACTTCTGGTAAATTTTTCACAACACTTACATAAGCTGGTGGAAACTTTATTTACTGTGTACCAATGACATTTGTAGGTATACAATAAAAGATCACCTGCAAGAAAATGTAGATGCTAACAGTGGTGCCATATGCAAAACCAATAAATTATCCCTGAAAATGTTCACACAGTATTAATATTATACAGTTCCATCTGAATATATTTAAAAGTTTGGTCATCATACTATGCTTTCTTGGTTTTTAAACTCTTGAGTTTTCTGTTTAGTTACTTTACTCCCAGAACTTCCTAAACCAGTCCATAAAGACATGGCTTTTTGGATGCACCACTCTTAGTGTACCATAATTCAGTCTCCCTGAGCAACAGAAATAATGGGCACAGTCAGCCAATAAGGAAATATGATAACAGAGGAACCAAAATGTCCTAGTAGAGCGGAGAGCACACTACAGGAATCTAGCTCTCTATCTGAAGACACAAGTGTGTCTTTGTCCCATTTTAGCTGTGTGAAGTGACAAAATATTACACTTCTCTATCAGATGATTCACCAAGAGCTACTAATTCAAATATAAGTGGAGCTTATAAGGTCACTATAAAAATAAATATATCTAGAGCACAATATGTCCTGCACATAGACAATGCATATCTTCTAATACTATGTTAATAGAGTACAGATACAAGCTTTGAAATTAAAATGCTTTCAGGAGGAAAAGTTCCAGTGTAGAAAGATGATGATCCAAGTTTAAGGCAGTAAGAAAGGTTCCTATGATCAGCATAAATTAAACTAGAAATGGAAATGTTTTCCAATCAACCTTGCACATGATTGGTGTGTTGTGTTCTAACTACTTAGCCCTGTATGCTTTCACTGGAAAATTCCATCCTGTTCCCTTAAGCTGGGGATGTTATTCAAACAGTGTGACCAGAGTGGGGCACTTATTTATAATTAAAAAAAAAATCAAAACAAAACAAAGAAAAAAAAAACCAAGTGTTTTTTTCTTTTCCAAACAGTATTATACTGTCCTAATTTGGTTGCTCAGGAAAAACTAACATGGCATCCCACACAAGAAATAATTGGGGCCTGAGATTTAGCTTAGCGGAATAAGCACTTGCCTGGCAAGGGCGAAGTTGTGAGTTCGATCCCTGGTACCACAAAAAAAAAAAAAAAAAAAAAAAATTGGTGAGTGTCATGTTCTACAAAGGACTATATGAAGAGTTGAACAAATGAGTCTATAGATGCCATTTAAGTTGGAAAGAGAAAATCTTCATCAATGCAAAGATAAAGATAAAATGTATTGAAAAAGCATAGGATGTACCAGATTCACCAAACATAATGGCTAAACCTTGGATTCTTCAAACCTGCCTGACACACAGACCTTGATCTGTATTTGGGGTAGTTTATCTAACTCAAAACCAGTGTTATGGTTGGTACATTATGTCAACTTGAGAAGTTTAGTTCAATTAAGTCACTGAAGGGACCCAGGGCCCTTACTTTGTAAATATCCTCATCCTGTGCAAAAGGAGGGGATGGGGATTTTGGAATTGCTACACCCGCCCTGGTTAGAGGAGGGCAGCCTGCATACAGCATAAGGGAGGATAAGAGACTTCTTGTTCTCCATTTTCTCTGACTGCTTTTGTAGTCTTCTGCCACCTTAACTGTTGTCCCTGTGCCATGCTACCCTGCCTCAGAGCTACCTGACTAGGGGCTGAAACCTCTACACAGTTAGCTAAATAAATCCTTCCTTCCTTAATTTTGGGTGTTGGGTATTTTGTCCCCAAAACAAAATCAACCAAAGCAACAAAATTCATTAAAATATCTCCACTATTTCATGTAGTTTATTGAATACAATACAGTGTAAATCACTGGCTGTTGACCTATGGTGTTCTGCTTCTGACAGAGCAGTGACTCACTACTGCTATCCAACACCATGAGGTACTGCACCATGTATCACTAGTGTGTAGAATGAGTAAATTTCAAAATTAAAAGATTTGCACTAAGTAACTTTTCTTTTTCTCTTCAATACTAGAGACTTAAATCATGACCTCCTGCACATTAGGCAAGTTAACTTACAGTAAAATATTTATCTTACATTGAATGATTAAGTTCTCCAGTCAGAGATTCCCCAGTAGCTGGAATTAAAGGTGTTGAGCACCCTGCCCAGTGATGTCTACTTGTACAAAGCACTGAAATCTTGGTTACATCATGGTAACAGCAGACCCCAATGTTAAACTAGCAAGGTGGCACACAACAATGTTACCAACAGTTAAGGGGGTGGAGACTATCAAAATTTCTCCCAAGCCTGGAGAACTTAGTGAAATCGCTTTCAAAAATTAAAAAAAAATACAGAGAAAAAATTTTAAAATTTAGCATGTTGCAAACCAGAGTAAAAATCCCTAAATTCACTCCCTATACAATGAAAAAGACCAAACACATCTTGAAATTTTTAGTACACAAAAATAGTATACGAAAAAAAAATATGTAAGAAACTCTTTCCCATTTTACATCAACGATGATGTCTACCCTATTTTTAAATTTACAATAACACCAGTTTCCTATTTCTAATTTTGCCTCAAAAATGGCTAGATGAGCTGATTAGTACCCACGGAAGAAATATTTATCTATTACTAAGTTGACCTCCTTTCTTTAGTTCTGTGATCTTTGACCCAATCTCAGAACAAGAAAACAGATAATCCTTCACTTATTAATGCACTATGAATAATGTGACTTCTGAAGTTTACTGCTGTAGTGACTGATTTTTTCCATACTGCAAAATCCCTTGCTCTTTCATTTCTGTTTTACTCCCCTTTGATCTTACATATTTGAAAAATCCTTTTATTCTATTTATTCATATGCCTGCAGACCTTAAACTATGGGTATTTACCCTTACTTCAGTACTTAATTTATAAAAACATCTCATTCAGTATTTTAATTATTTTTAATTAATTTATTAAATAATTTTATTTATTTATTTATTTATTTTGGTACCAGGGATCGAACTCAAGTGTTTTAAATTTTTTTTTTATTGGTACTGGGGATCAAACTCAGGACCGCCTGCTTGCAAGGCAGGTGCTTATGCCGCTGAGCTAAATCCCCAGCCCCTAAGTGTTTTAATTTTTAAAACAATGCCTAGAAACAGTTCACAGACTACAAAGGAATTAGTTCATAAATGATGCCCCTTTCCCCTTCCACTCATACCAACAGCACATGTACACATCCCTGAAGATGCCCATCTAAGTGTGGGCTTAACAGGCAGCTCCCCCAGGAAGTTCTCCTTAGCAGGAATACTTTGCACTCCCTTCATAATACATTAACATCATCTTTCTCAGTATTGTAATCTAAGGCCTAATTATAATATTTTATTTAGTTACCTTTTAAATAAGGCACCTGGTTAGGAACGTACAGAGGTACTAATACCTGGTTAGGTATTAGTACAGAGGTGGGAAGTTAATCATTCTGATAAAAATTAAAATGAGCATAGAAAATTCCTAGCACTGTGGACCAAGAGTACATTTTCTGCACAGCAGGAAACAGCGCTTTCGGTACTAAAAGGAATGGAACAACTCCCTACTGACCTTCTAATTTTCCACGAAAATCCCAGTTTCATTTTAACAATGCAAGCCCAAGAAACGGGTGAGACAGCCTGAGTTCAAAGTGGTTGTTTTAAATTCACAGAGGATCTGTGATAGGCGGCCACTAAACAGCTGAGCATTCTTTGGGCTCTGCTTATCTATAATTAGCTCTGGATTGAGCGGCCACCGGGCCACTCACTCGGGACACTTCTAGAAATCACAGAGCTATTCTTCTGATTATTTCCAATAAAATTTCTACCAACATCCTTCTTTTCGTTTGCGACCTCACTACTCAATGTTGTGAGACCATGAATTCTGTTCATGCAATAACATCATTATGACTAGAGGCCTAACATAAAATGAAAGCGAAGAATTTTGCACTGCTCACTCTGAAATTCAGGGTTCCCTCAAAGCGCCTGCTCTCTCCAGACCAGTTGAGACAAAGCTCTGCCTACCGCTGATCAAGAAGCTATGCTGGAGCAGCAGTGTCGAAGCACACTGTTTGTATGCTACAGACCCTGAATTGTTCCTGACTGGGCAAGGGGGAAAATGTTAGATGAAGATGCAGCGCCCAAGACCAGGGAGACCTCGGCGTCTGGAGCTGAGCAGAGCTGTTCTACACATCATCAAAGCCGTTTCTGAGCATTTCCATCCGGAACGCACCCTATTCCACTCCATCCCCACCTCCCGTCCTATAACGTCACCATTGCGTGGTCTCAGGGTCTCCTGGTATCCTCTGAATCACCGACAGTAGAAGTTTTAGAAAACAAGCGGTTTAATCAACTTGTTCCTCCCAACAATGAACTCAGTGCTCATTTTGGCGCCATGACACAGGAAGTGCCCTCCTCCCTCGGCCCACCTGATTGGGTAGCTCAGACAGCCTTCATCACTGATTGACTCCTGTTGTATTTCCTAACAGCTGAGCGGAACCCGACAAGACAAACGAACCTCTTCCGGTAGGCGTGGAGTTCAAGGATAAAGTAACGCAGGAAATTCTGGACCAATCTGTCTCCCACGATGTCAGTCTGACTTTGCATGAAGAATGCCTGAATTTAAGGGCTTTGCCCCTGGCTTCTCAAAGCGCCTGTGGTTTTCTAAATGGGCTCGGTGGACTCTTCCTGCAAATGTTGCATCACTGTGCTGAGAAGGTTCCAGGGTCAGTGTCCTGTGGAAGAATCACTCCCCTGATACCAGAAAATGTTAAGTACAGGCCAGTCCAGGACAAATTGGAATAAAGTTGAGAATGAGGTAGTTGGTTTTATTGGAAAGATTTTCACACTGTGTCGCAATCTCATTTTTATCCATGAAAATGAATTTATGGTCCCAAAGAAGAATATAACTACTGTGTGAATGCAGAAATTTAGAGTTGAGCCGGGATTTAGCTCAGCGGCACAAGTGCCTGCCTGGCAAGCTTGAACTTGTGAATTCGATCCCCAGTAACAAAAAACAAAAAAAAAAAAATAAATTAGAGTTGAGTGATAACAGTATTTTACAAAAGAGTAAAGATAAAAGAAAAGCAAGCATTCCACCTCCATCAGACAAGATTCATTCTTTACCCAGCATCATAAAAAATAATTGAATTCTAAAAATAAACATTTTCAATTATGAAGGCTAGAAAGAGTTTGAAACAGGGCCACACTTAGTTTCCCAGGCCTTATCCTGGCTTCTTACAGGTTTCCTTATTTTTACTAAGCTCTATTTTTGTTTTTTAATCTGTATCTTCTGTATATTGACCATCATCTCTTAAGTTATCTGAGAAATTATTTATTTGAATTTTTTCGTGAGCCTCATTCATTTGCTTTGTTATTTTAACTGTTACCACTTCAGAGAGTCCAGGTGTGTGGATTTAGAATTATACTACCTCACTGACACCTGGCTTTTCTTTTGCTGAGTTGGAAGTCTGAGGATGCATGTTAAATCTGCATCTTCTCATTTTCTGTAATTTTAATTTCTGAATTCATGCTTGAAAATTGCTAGGTTTGATACCATTATTGATAGCATCGAGATCCTTTAGGTAATGATTACTTCTCAGAGATGTCCTCCAGTTGTAGCTGGCTTTTGGATTTTGAGTATATTGCAAGATCCTTCCTCTTTGGTTTATAGGGAATCAGAAATTGCTGTCCATTTGGCCTAGGCCCTGCTTCTTTGGCTGTCTCCTATAATACTGTTTATGACCATCAGGCCACCTAAAACTTTGCATATAAGAGTGAATAACTGATCAGACCAATTAAAGTAGTACAATCAGCAATAACAGGATCAAACACACTCTAAAAAAAGACAATACTGGTAACGATTAATTTGTCACCTTTAACCATATGAACAAGGTTTGTGGCTACATCTAATAATTATACAAACAGAAAATTGTGTTCAGTAAACATCCCCTCAATATAACCACATGACCCTTAGGGGAGAAAATTAAAAGGGACTTTAGTGAGAAATACTGAAATAGAGATAGAGAAAGGAATTAAAAGCAAGACTGGAGGAGAAAGCAAAATTGCACAAAATTTGGAAACTGGTAAAGAAGACTGGAGGAAAAGAAACATGGAAGAATCAAAAACAAAAATAGAACAAAAAAGCAACAAAAAATATAGAATATTCTCTCTCATATAAAATCAAGAACCACCAATCAAGTAAAGAGAAAATTTTAAAAAATTAAATAGCATTGGGACAGGGATTTAGCTCAGTGGCATAAGTGCCTGCTTGGTAAGCTCAAGGTCGTGAGTTCAATCGCCAGTTCAAAAAAAATTAAATGGCATTAACAAAGAAAGAAAGTGAGAAAAACAACTTTGCACTTCAGGGAGTATGACTGCTGTCACTGAATGACAGTGGATGGACAGAGACCATATCTGTGTTGATTGATCCTAGCAAGGCAGCAGCATTATGGTCATTGTGGATAATCCCAGAAAACCTGGATCTTTATTTCATCTCCAGAAACTATGGCTATGATAAGGAAATCCATCAGTAACAAATTTGGGAAGAGCTACGAGGGAAAAGAAATACTCTCCTCCTGTTAGTGAGTATAGACTGGTACAATCACAGTGGAAATTAGTGTGGGGAGTCCTCACAGAACTAAGACTGGAGTTCCAAATGCACACATCACTTCCCTTCTTGTTATATTCCTAAAAGAATCAAAAGTATCGAACCACAGAGATATGTGTGCACCATGTTTAAAGCAGTGCAGTTTGTAAAAGCTGAATTTTGGAAATGCTTCCAAAGCTTATCAACTCGTGAATTTGTAAAAAATGTTATTTTTCATACAATGGAATAGCAGTCTGGCATAAAGAATAACATACTTGAGACACTAATAATTAAGTGGATGGCTCTTGATTTGATTTTCTTATGGGAAATAAATCTCACACACATATTATATAAGTTTCATATTTACTTTCTGGTGTGAGAAACTGAAAGCATAAGTAAGAACAAAACTGTATAATAATTACTGGGAAATAGGAAGAAGTTTTTTAAAAGGAAAGTTGGACCAGGAAGGGAGGAGAAAAGTAAGGAAGGATGGGAACACAAAAAAATCAAGAAAAATGGATAAAATGAAAAGAAATTTCATAAATAATTTGGGAAAGAAGGGTTGAATAAAGGGGACTAGAAGGAAAAATATGCAAAAAATATCATGTATAGTTACTTATTCTATAAGTATGTTCATTACGTATATCTAAATTTTACTAATGAAGTTTTAAACATTCTGTCATGCCTAGAATAGTGATAGCAATATCGATATATATTGTCCTGGTGATGATAAGAAGCAGTAATGAGCTACAGGGGAACTCAGCCATTTGTTCTAGGGTATATGTGTGTTACATTCCATGAATTCATTGAGATATTTCAGATATACAGTAGATACAATTTTAGAAGCTACTGCCCTACTGTCGACTAAGTTGTGTGTCTAAGCTTGATTAAGTGTAGAGCAAGCTATGTAATGTGTACTGCATTGTGCATATTTAACTCTGCTCACTTATGTTTTCATGTTACCATAGAATGACAGTAGTAGAATTACTACAGCATTAGAACAAGGACACTGAAAAAAAAAGAACAAGGACACTGTATAAAACATTGTACAATACAGTTAACTGTTAAAAAGCAAGAAAAATTTAGTTCAAGATCATCTTGTCCTCATACTCACAGACTGCCTAAGTACCTCATATAACAGGCACTGCTCCCTATGGATAATGGAAAAAGATATTGTGTAAACTCATCTGAAAAATGATGAATTTGAAAACAACCTGAATCATAAATTAGTTTATTTCTTTTCACTAAACTACTACTTTTCCTTTGTGACATTATTTCACCATCTTATGTAAAAACAATAATAATTACCAAAGGCAAGCACATTGTCAGAATCAGGGAAAAATTAAAGGCATTTCCCTCATGATAGGCAATAACAATCATTCTCCAAAAAATAACTCCACTATTAACAAAAATTCCTTTGGCAACGTTGTTTTTAGAACTTATACCATCATTTATTCATTGTGGAGCGATCACTTGAGACAGTTAACTAAGTGGGTCCATTTTAGTACGAAATGGCCAGTTAAATTGGAAAGACAGTTCTGGGTGTAGAAGACCCACAATTAGGAGATTTACTGCCAGAAAGGCATAAAAGAGAAGCAAAAAGGACAAACTGTTTTTTTTTTTTTTTTTTTTTTTTTTTAGAGAAACTCCAGTTTTCACCTTCATCTTCAATGTTTTCTCCAGGCTTCCAGTACGACTCTTAATTCTCAAGCACAGACAACTCAGTCTTCTGCTCTATACCATTCAGCCTCATGAGACAAATTTGGATTAAACACTGCAGTGGATTCCAGGCATTAAACAGGATGATGCAGATTCCAAGCTCATGGACCAAATTTCTGCACTCTTCCACATCTGCCTGTGTGACAGGCCATTTTATTCCAATATTTTAAATATATTTGGCTATCAGTTTCTGTACTAATTTTTTTTGTCTTTTTCCTTTTTATCAGTACTGGGGGTCAAACTCACGACTGCCTGCTTGCAAGGCAGGCACTTATGCCACTGAGCTAAATCCCCAGCCCCTGTACTAATTTTTGACTGAGAGATTTTAGTGCTGAGGATGACTCTAGAAAAGGAATACTGAACATCTGAAATTCTATCATGGCTTTAGAAATTCCTGAAGTCAGCTTCCTAATTTGATGAGATCTATACATGTCAAGGCCTGTCTTTCTATTACTGTAGGGAATATTAACACTCCTTGCCATGAACTGTTTAAAACAATACAGTGTAGATCTATGTGACTGTCCTAACATGTTACTTATGAAATGGAAGGAATTTAGCAATTCTCTATATAAAATGCTTGAATATTTATGACAGAGTGGGGAAATATGATTATAACTCCTGGTTGCTCAAAGCATCTTTGGAAAAAGTCATGAAACACAATATTTAGTTCAACCAATTCACCAGTAATCAAATTCTTCTAACTGTAAATTAGAGGTAAATTAATAAAGGAAAACAAGGAAGTAAAAGATACAAATTCCTAGATGAAAAAGTACACAGAAATTTAAAAGTTTTAACAATGAGATCTAAAGCTAATCTCTTTTCCTTTGGCCACTTGACTAAGATTGCAAAAGAATATATACAGGCCCTCATACTTTGACTAGCTGAAATGTAGTGTAAGTTTAATGCTCAGTATTGAAGGGTATCTGAATAAAGAAGAGGGCCTTGGTTGGAACAGAATGGGATCCTGTATAGGAGGATAGAAATGTTTATGTGAATCCTGTTGAGGCTGATGATGTGGAGCATCTGTACTCTCATGAGATTATTTTCCCAGAGGAAGAGATTTCCCTAGCTTCAGTGGTGTAGGCATACCAAGCCCTATGCCTGTGGAATTAGCTTCATTAGTATGCCTGAGAAAAGTGATCCTGTGTTGACCAAGCATGACAATCCTGACACTGGGACCCACAACACCACGTGACTGCCTCAATGCCTAGAGCCAGATGCAAATTGAAAGACACTCATAAGGGTGAGGTACATAGTGTGACATGAGGAGGTCCACTGTTCTTTCAAAGAACTTCATGAGTTTCCGCTGATAATCAAAGGCTTGATGAGCAACACATGAATGTACTTTGTGTGGGGGATAGGGGAGTAAAGGTCATACACTTAGATAAAGGTGAATTTGTTGCTAACAGCATGTTAAGCAGTTATTGTGAATGTGTTGCAGTTCATGGAGTAAAGAAAGGCTTTAATAGTTTCTTTCACTGAATGGCAAAAGGATGGATCAAAATGGCCCCCTGTGAGTGATTTAGAGGCAGCTTGCATTTTACAGTTTACCATTGATGAGGGTTTTCAGAGGCTTAGTGAAATGGTAATGCTAGAACGGATTTGTCATCAATCCTAATCTGTCACACTGAAATGTTCCAGAAAACGTGCCCTTCATTGGTTTAGCTCAGCAGCATAAGTGCCTGCCTTGCAAGTGCACAGTAGTGAATTCAATCCCTGGCACCCCCCGCCAAGTTTCCTTCAGTAAAGCCTTGAGATATGTATTTGTCAGGAGAGCATCTTTATCTCTGAAAAGCCCTGTCAGTTGTCCTCTCTGTGTGCTGGACCTTAGTGTGGGGACCAGAGATGCTCAGTTGGGAAACTAAATAACTGAAGGAGTTGTCAAGTTGCAACACAAAACTGCCGAAGCACAGTGCAGGCACGTAGGAAAATGTTTGCATAGAAAGAACAATGATCAGAATAGTAAACCTATGCCATTTGCTGGTCATCAAATGGTGTTCCAAAAAGTGAAATGCATAAGGTTACAAAACTTTTATTGGATTCATGGTACCAAAAAATGTAAGGTCAAATGAACAGAAACTTACTCTACAGTAAGCAGGAATCATAATCCCTCAACCAGATCTCAAGTAGTAGCCCAGTCTTCCAGAAACCCTTGAATGAAGGGGACATTCATGGGGGAAGGATCCCGAAGCATCACCAAAAATCCATGTTGCCAATCATTCCATCTTTCCCCAAGAGAAGCAGTGGGCTGTTACCAGAATCACCACAGATTAAGGAATGTGGAATTTGGAGGACTAATGGACATTGATTTGTAAACACAGCTGGCTCCACAAGATTCAAAATATTGTGATTTTCCAGTAAGAGTAGGGACCTATTAAGTTCAATGAATCAATGGAATCTTACCAAATTCCAATTCACTGTTCATCAAGTATATCCTTAAATTCATTCCATAATTATTTCTGATTTTCAGTGTCCAATTTGTATAACTATACTATGTACTTGGCAGAACTCTCATGTTGGCTCCTTAAATTGTAATGTGAGGGCTGGTATAATTGGAAATGTCAAACAGAATCCACTGGAATTGCCTTTCCTGGACAAAATCATTAAATAATAGTAGTTCTTTCTTGCAGGGATTGCAAAGATTATTACTATTGTTGTCATTAAGGAATGCAGAGGTGGTCCTTCCCATTATGTTTTCAAATAATTCAATTTGGTCTGTGAGGAAGATGAATGAATTTTAAAGAGTGATGATACATTACCACAAACTGAATAAAAATGTGACTCCAATTGCAGCTCCTGTTCTAGATGTAGTGTCTTTGGATGAGCAGACTAATCTATCACCTGGTCTTGGTATGCAGGTATTGATAGGACAAATGAATTCCTTCTCCACACATATCCATGTGGATGATCTGAAATAATCTGCTTTCAGTGGAGATTATAAATAATATACCTTCACTCTCCTACCTCAGAGTTACCTTTCCAGTCCTGTGTTACAACTTATTCTGCAAGAATCTTGATCACTTTTCTCTTCCATAATGCATCACACTATCATGCTCATTGGACCAAGTGAGCATGAGTTGGAAGCAGCACTAGAGTTGTTAGTAAAAGTTTGAGAGCCACAGGATGGGATGTAAGTCATAATACAATTCAAGGTCCTCTACCTCAGTGAAGTTTGTAGGTGTCCCATCATGTGCAGCATGTACAAATATACCTCTTAACATAAAAGATGCATTGTCTATCTGGATTGCCAACAAGGAAAAAGAGGCAGACTGCCTAGTGGACCTCTTTGGATGTTGGAGGCAACACCTTCCGCCTTTAGGTACTTTTGTCTGGCTCATTTACTCAGTGACTTGAAAACCTCCTACTTTGGAGTGGTGTCCTGAAGAAGAAAATAATCTGCAACAGGTCCATGCTGTTGTACAAGGTGGTGTGTCACTGCAGTCATATTGTCCAGCAAACCCAGTGGTGTCCAAGTGTCAGTGGCCCCTACTAATGCTGTTTGTGGTTTCTTCCAAGCTCTTATGTCGATTGCTATGGAGACCATTAGGATTCTGGAGAAGGTCTCTGCCATATTCTCCAGAAAACTGCTCTCCCAAGGAAAAAAAAAGTCCTTGGCATGCTACTGGGCCATAGTGGAAAAAGAAGCCTTGATCACAGGACATCAGGTTACTATGCAACCTGACCCTCTTAGCATTGCTGTGTTCTGTCTTATCCACAAAGACCTAAGTTGGATTTACACAATGACAGTCTATCATTAAATAGGAATTGTACATGTTGAGACAAAGTAGGTCCAGACTGTACAAATAAATTACATGAAGTCCCTCAAGTGCCCATTGCTCTGACACCTACTATAGCATATTCTTTTTCACCATGCATCTATGGACTCATGGATTATACAGTGAATTCAGCTGTTGGAGGGAAAAAGGCTGCCACTGTTACAAATTGTTCTGTAGGTTATGCAAACACCACCTGCAAGTGGAGAGCGGCAACATTACAACCATTTTCCAAGAAGTCCAACTTTGACATTGGTGAAGGGAGGTATTCATAATGGATCAAACTCCGGGCAGTGTACATGGGAGTACAGGGTGCCTCAGAGGAAAAATGGCTGGATATACAACTGCATACAGATTTTTGGGCTGTATCTTGGAACATAAACAGAAAACAGGTGACATAGTTGTCTGGGGATGATGTAGACAGGCCTATCTATGTAGGCAAGGGATGTAAATATGTTTCTAACAAACATTCACCAGTGAGACCTGAGCACAAAATAACTTCAACATGAATTGGATAAGCTGACCAGTTCTGTTGATAGTAATCAGCTTCTCTCTTCGGCCAGCCCTTTCATTGATCAATGAGCTTATAAACAATGGGCATTTTGGCAGAAATAGAGGCTTTCATGATCACTGACATGAACTCTTACTCCCCAAGGTTATTCTGTCTACAATCACTTGCTATAGGCCCAATATGCCAGTAACATACAACTACAGTTTTCCTGATGTGGCACCAATCCGTAGAGTGATACTCTTCAACCTGGTGGCAGTTTTATTACATTGGACTGCTTCCAACCTGGACAGGGTATCCACTGCATTTACTGGAATACTTTTTCAGAATATGTATTTTCCTTTAACTCTCATGCATGCATTCACATAATTGCTTCTCCACCATTACTGAATTCTACACAGCATTGGCTTTGACCACAAGGAATATATTTTATGCCCAAGGAAGTGAAGTGATAAGTTTCGCTCTCATGAAATTCAGTAGTCTTATCACATTCCTCACCATCCAGAAGCAGCTGTCTTCATACAAAGTTGAAATGATCTTTTGGAGACATATTCTTAGCACCAGTTAGGTAGCAGTGTCTTACAGGGCTGGCACAAGGTTTTCAAAAGGTAGTATACACGCTTTGAGTCAGCATGTGATATTGCATGTCTAACAGCCAAGAATCCTGGGTCTGGGAATGAGGGTAGGCAAGTTTGAGTGTTAGATATTCTTATGACACATCTTTGTATCTGGAAACCATGGGTTAAAGAAATGTGCGTAGATGTAATGTTGTGAGGCGTAGCCAGTGACGGTTAACTGATCAAGTAATGAACAACTACCTTATTGCAGCTAATTATAGATGTGGAAAACCTACCATAGATTGTTTTCAGAACATTATAAAAAGGAAACAAAGCTAGGCTACCTGTGTTTCTGTAACAGAGCTCCCGTGTTCAGCATTGTGTGGGAAGCTGTGTCTTGGCTTCCAGCACAGACTCTTCAGCCTCTAGTGCAAACTAGTCATCTGGCACACACTTTGCTTGCAGACTCAGGCTCTCATGGACACTACAGTGGACTCCAGGCCTTGAGCTGGATTTTTATTTTTGCAGACCCACAGCAGACAGATCTTTTGCATTATTTCACATATTAGTATGTGCCCCAACATTCTAAGCCAATCTTATACGTCAGTATGTATTTGTCTATCTCTGATTAAATGTTCCTTTAGTAATCACTGACTGACGCAGTGTTGCAATACATCATACCCTTTCTAGGACATCTGATGTGTCACAATCAGAAATTTACAGCAGCATGGTTTATTTTTTGGTATAAACTGTGGTAAAATTGCCACCAAATAAAAAGCCATAATATAAGTAAGAAAAATGGTAATGGTAAGAAATTGAAATTTTATATAAATCATACTACTGATATCCACATGAAAGCAATAGATGAAATTATGTGCTTTACATAATTATGCTGTGAAATGTGCAGATACAACATAAAAACCAAAGCATTTGCTAATCTACAAGTTGTATATAAACAAAGAGACTTTTTAAAAAAAAGTACATGATTACAGGTCTCTAAATTTGTATACGCTGACATATCGATTATACAATCAAATTCAAAATTGTTTTTGTATATAGGTTACAAAGTGTAATACGCCAAAAAATTTACAAGAGTGGGAAATATCAATTAGAAATCTATCAATATATTTATAGCAGCCTACATCTTCACATAGTAAAAACAAAACAAAATCAAAAGTAAATTCTAACCATACTTGGAAGTGAGAAATATATTTCAATTCACCTTGTTTCATTAGACGAAACTGTAACATAAAGTTAAAAAATTATGACTTACATAAAAATATATTAGTATTATAAAGACTAAAGATACATATTTCAGTTATCTTGAAGATATTTATTGAAAAACAAAGAAAACATCTAGATCTCCATCTAGGAGTATAATTCCTGGAAATCTTATGAAGTAATATTCACATGAAAATTTTCATTTGCACGTGCTCATGGCTCAAATATATGAGGAAGTTTGACCAGTTTTCCAAAATAGGTTTACACATATTATCAATCTCTACTGTAAGCTCCTTCATGTATTTGATAAAAAATGCATTCACTGAATACTTCCACCACATTGTTGCTGTACATAGAAATCTGCTCCAGTGAGATTCTCATACATAAAATGAGGACTTAAAAATCCTATTCCACATGGCTCACAAGCATGTATTTGTTTGTACGTGTGAGTTTTTATGTACTTGACAGAATTAGTGTGTAGTGAATACCTTCCCACATTGCTTATACCTACAAGGTTTCTCTACTGCATGAGATCTTTCATGTATGCTACACGAATTCAACACCATATTGCTTGCACCTTAAATTCTTTCTTTAGTGTGACTTCTTTCATGTCTTTTATAATACTTATCTGTAAGGAATGCTTTCCCACATTGTTTGCACACGTGAGGTTTCCTCATGTGAGTTCTCTCATGTATGTTACAAGCATACTTTGTAGTGAATGCTTTTCCACATTGCTTGCACACATAAGGTTTCTTCCCAGTGTGTGCTCCTTCATGGATTAGACAATTGTTCTGTGTAGTAAATGCTTTCCCACAGTACTTGCACACGTAAGGTTTTTCGCCAGTGTGAATTCTTTCATGTATGTGACAAGAATACTTTGTAGCGAATGCTTTCCCACAGTATTTGCATACATAAGATTTTTCCCCCGTGTGAATTTTTTCATGTACATTACAATAAGCCTTTCTGGTGAATGCTTTCCCACAGTGCTTGCACACGTAAGATTTTTCCCCCATGTGAATTTTTTCATGTACACTACAATAAGACTTTCTGGTGAATGCTTTCCCACAGTGCTTGCACTCATAAGGTTTCTCTCCTGTATGAGTTCTTTCATGTCTTTGACGATACTGAGGTGTACTGTATGCCTTCCCACAGTGTTTGCACACATGTATTTCAGCAGTGTGAATTTTTGCATGTACATTTAAAAACGACTTTGTAGTGAATGCCTTCCCACATTGCTTGCACACATAGGGCTTCTCCCCAGTATGTGTTCTTTCATGTATTTGACAATATTGCTGCACAGCAAATGCCTTCCCACAGTACTTGCACACGTAAGGTTTTTCCCCAGTGTGTATTCTTTCATGTACATTACAGTAAGTCTTTGTAGAGAATGCTTTTCCACATTGCTTGCACACATATGGTTTCTCTCCACTGTGAGTTCTTTCATGTATTTGACATTTACTATATATAAAGAATGCTTTTCCACATTGCTTACACACATAAGGTCTCTCCTCAGTATGAGTCCTTTCATGTGTTTGACAAGATCGTGGTGTATTATATGCCTTCCCACAATGCTTACACACATAAGGTTTCTCCCCAGTGTGAGTTCTTTCATGTATATTACAATAAGCCTTTTTGGCAAATGCTTTTCCACATTGCTTGCATATGTAAGGTTTCTCCCCAGTGTGTGTTCTTTCATGTATTTTACATTTATTGTGTGTCCTGAATGCTTTCCCGCATTGCTTGCACACATAAGGTTTCTCCTCAGTGTGAATTCTTTCATGTATTTTACATTTATTGTGTGTAGTAAATGCTTTCCCACAGTGTGTACACAAATAAGGTTTTTCCCCAGTGTGAGTTCTTTCATGTATTTTCCAGTAACTGTGTCTTGAGAAAGCTTTCCCACATTGCTTACATACAAAAGGTTTCTTCCCTTTGTGAGTACTCTCACATTGAGTATATGTGCTGAGTGATTTCCCATATTGCTGATATATAGAGAGTTTCACCTCAGTGTGAATTCTTTCATGTTTTTGGCAGCTACTGTGTGTGTGGAATGCTCTTCCACATTGCTTACACACATCGTGTTTCTCCTCCAGGTGAGTCCTTTCATGAATTTTACAACTGTCAGTAATGAAAATTTTTCCATATTGCTTGCATACATGTGGTTTCTTCCCAGTGTGAATTCGTTCATGGATTTGAAAACCACTGGGTGTGGTGGATGCTTTCCCACTTTTCTGAGCAACAATAATCTCTCCAGGGCGAGTTCCTTCACTAAATTCAGAGTAGGATTTCCCACAGTGCTCATATGGACAGGCTTTCTCTTCCTTCTCTGTCTCTGCATACATCTGAAAGGACTGGAGATCACTGCAGGGTTTTCTGTGTTCATTACATTTACTCGGCTTCTCATCACATTCTGCATGTTGCGGAGGCTTCTCTCCACTGCAAGGTAAGATGGGAACATTAAATGATAAATTCCCAATCAGGGGCTCTCTACAAACAAGATTTCCAGCTGTCTTTGAAGCAGATTGTTGCACGTCCTCATTAGCATCTGCAGTCCAAAGGAATACATTTTGATGTTGATTCCAAGATACATATTGATAGCATTTTGCTACCGATGCATTTCTGTAAAATAGCAAAATATCACTCACAATAAAAAGGATCTCCATATCAACAATTTTGCAGCACAAGTTCTGGCTTGATGACTGCTAAGAAGTTTTCAGAATAAAGAAGCATACAGTAAGTAAGTAAGGTACCTCTATAATACCTATTTTTCAAAGGATGTAATTCACTTGGAAATTTTAAATCACTGTATCTTTGTAATACGTAAAGAGATGTTTTATTTCAGTCATTGACATGCATGTGTATCACACACCTGTTCCCACTCTCCCATTCTATCACTTCTTAATTTAACTCCTTAATTTGCATTTTAGTATCTCAATAAAGGAAAACACTTGATAATTCATTCTCTATCTGATTTATTTCATTTACTACCCTGAGGAAGAGTTCCATGATTATTTTTGCCCCAACACATGACATTCTTATTTTCCAAATAATATAGGACACTTTTTTAATGATGAGAATTAAACAAAGATCTCATCCTTAAACTGCACTTCTAGTTATTTTTTTAAAATGTCTTATTCTGAGAGCGATTGTCATTGATCATTCATTTGGTCAGTGTGACTCCATGTTGTTATCCTGAAGACTCATTTACCAGAGCCCTGGGAATATAAGAAGCCTTCACCATGCTGAGCCCACCCCACATTCTCCTTTTCCATGCACACAATGATTGACATTTAGGTTACCAAAGCTGAGGTACTGTGAATTCTTTTAGAACTTATCTATTGAGAATACCGTGATTACCCTGCTTGGAGTGCAAGTACATATGTATCAGTAAGATAAAGTATAAATCCTTTCATAAGATACATAGGGAGTTTTGTGTGTATCAAATGCAAAGCTTTATTTTTAAATTCTGAGATATCTGTGTCTTTAATATAAAAATAGTTGTTTTGTATTCTTACAAATAATGTATGAAGTTGTAGTCTACAAATTTCAAAACCTGAATGCACACAACTCTCTAGAAGATATTTTCAAACATTTATTAATACACTAGCATTCATGTACATTTTGAATGTTTGCTTTAAGGTTAGCGATAGTTTAGGTAATGTATATCTCACATTCATATATATAGTTAAACAAATAACTTGCACATTAAATCCTTCCAAAATTCGGGATTTATCTTTTCATATGTATCTATACAGAATACCTATAATGTGACTTTATATATTTTTATGCTGATTGGGAACTCATTTTTATGCCAATGTATAAAATAGTGTCTCTTATTGTATAAATATCACCAATAAATTAGTTTCCCATAGTGAAATGTTTCTGTATTCAACAGGCAGATTATACAACATCAACCTATATGTGTGTTCAGAGAATTGTTGTGAGATTAAATAAACTCGAACACAGCCTGATTTGTAGAGATTCCTTGTTATATTTCTGCTCATGCATAAAACCTTTGGAAATACTGCTTTTCCTTATGAATGAAAATTACCTTACATTTCTTGAGCAATTTTTGTATTCTTCCATTTTCTGGTGGTTCCAAGTTCTTTCTGAATTTTAGCCATGAAAATATAAAAAGTCACCTTATCATTATATAAAAAGTAGCATTTAACAGTCAGATTCACAGTATAACATTAATAAAACTGAGATTTTCTTTAAAATAGCTTAATATTCTATTTAATGAATCTGTACCCATCAGCAAGTACCAAAGCTCTCATTGTATAGATGAGAAAATGATGTCAGTCTTACCAATAGTATTTATATTCATCACTGTTTCCCACATCACCTCTCTATAGAGCTTCTTCTGGGATGGATTCAGCAGAGCCCACTCCTCTGTGGTGAAGTTCACAGTTATATCCTCCAAGCTCACTGCCTCCTAAATAATCACATACATATTTCCTGAAGAAGGTTCACACTCACACCGAGAACTTGAGCTCCTGTTGTAAAAGCTGAATTGAGACTGTTACGTGAAATATGAATGCCATGTCTTTGTCACAAGAGCCTGGGTGTACACACAGTTTCCCACACAACTCGATGCTATATTACTTGTCTCTACTACACAAAGAGCACAGAGGTAGCACTGGTTGCTTAATAGGTTCACATAAATTGTGGTTCTTTTGTTATAGGAATTTAACAATGCTTGTTATATAGCATTTTGTTATCTTCAAATAGTACTTCAGGTTACCAGATATAGGAATAAAGCAAAACAATGAAATGGAGGAAAACATTAGATTTCAAAAACAAGATGTAATTAGATGGTTTAGTAACTTTCCTGTAACTAGGACAAATATCCAACAACCTCAATTTAAAGAAGTAGGGTTTATGTGTACTTACTGTTCAGTTCATGCTTTCCTTGTTCCAAGTTCGGCATGGTATGGCAAGGTGGAAATGGAAGAAAAATGTACTCAAACTGTGTCAGTCAGTAAGAAGGGAAAGATGGGACTAGGACAGAGAAGAAAACACTTTCCTAGGCCGGGACCCCAGAAACCCATCTCCAAAAACACCCTCGCCCTAAGAGCCCGTACTGATACAGAACTTATCTGTGAATGCCTTCATGAGGAGACAGCCTACAGAAACCATTCAATTTTTACACTTAGGAGACATTTAATGACATTGCAGATATAAATTATGATACTTGGTGTGTTGCTGGGTAAAAAATTTGCATAAAACAGTCCAGTCTCACCCACATAGTAACTTCACCTAAGTCAGGCATCTCCTCTTAGCCTGCTGCTCACCGCACAGCACGGGGAGAAGAGGCACTGAAGGACAGAGTGGGGAGCATCAGGGCTCTGGTCACAGTAACAGCACCTGTCTCACAAGGACGTCTTTAGTTCCTAGAAGAAGACAGAGTCCCATCCTGAGGGCCAGGAAATACCAAATGTGTACCAGAGAGAATGGCCAGATAGGAACTAAATTTCTCAACTGAGGTGCTGAGGCTCAAATCCTGCCAAAGCTGGTTCTGCTCACTTGCAACAAGAACCGAGGCTTGCAAGAAAGATCATATTCCTATCTTTGCTCATTTGATCCTGTACCATCACCTTCTTGGGGACTGAGCTCTGCCAGCTGCTTCCCATGCAAACAGTCAGTAGAACCCACAGAATGAGTCAGGCTGAGTGAGCTTGGGAGTCTCTCAACATCACTTTGTGAACTTTTGGCTTTGCTTCCTGAAAAGGAAGATTGTATTCTCTGGCCTGTATATCTCATTTGACTTTTCATACACCCAAACTCTTCCTCACAAACCTGCTGGGTGTTCTACCCAATGAGCAAGAAGGAAAGCAAGATGGTACATTATCATTTGAGAGAAGCCCAAATGACAGAGTTCAGAATGCCTTGCCTACCCAGTTTTCCTCCCAGGGACACTGACTTGACCCACCCTGTTGCAGTACTGATTTGAAGCAGGATTTACTCCAAGCTTTGCAGAGCTGATTGTACTTCTCTACTATATTTTGTGGCTTCTCCATACCTGTTGTCCCTGTGAAAGAGAAGACAGCTCCACTGTCTCTGAAAACTTCTAGTTTCAAAGACAAACAGAGAAGATCAACAAACCCATCAAAGAGTCTGGGTACGGGCAATGTACTAATTAATGTAGTCCAAGTGCACAAAATTGAATGCAATGCCTAGTTTTATGTTACAGGTTTTCCTACCTTTAGTTCTCAATCTAATCAGATCCAAGAAGAAAATAACAGCATGCAATAGAGCATGTAATTGTCTGTGTGTGAGACTCAAGGTTTCCCTGCGCTACGCAGCCTGTTACAGTTAAAGACTACTTCATGCTGCATATAGATTTAAAGCAATAAAGAAGTTTTGTCACAATAAATCAGGTATCAAAAACTCTAATGATGAGATTTATAGAGAAGCACAAGAATGAAAAACTGTAGAGCCCAATAATTCACTCTCTACACCACTATGTAGAAAGCTCTGTGGGAAGAGCACGGTGAGTATTGTTCTTCTGACCCGTTTCTGAGGCTGAGAACTCTGATGCTATGAAAAGGGAATGCAAGACTCTTCACAGTGCCTTCATTACTTTCCAAATTGGGATGAAAGTCAATGAACATGAGGAGCCAGTGTCACTCTCAGCTACAGTGAGGTTAATTACATACAATGACAATGACACCTGGTGTCAAAAGAAGACATGGTAAAACAGTGAGGACTAATAGTGAGATCTGACATGCGTGTGTTAAATCTCTTCTCACGACCATTCAGGCTCATTAGGAGAATATAGCAGAAAACATGTTAGGTTACGTTAGTCTACAGAAGAGATGAAAACTACCATTGTTTCCAAATTGCAATAACAGAACGTACCCCAGGATAAAGTCCCAAGATAGGCACAATCAGGAATGGTATTGATTTTCTTGTGCCATACAGACACAGAAAGACACATATGGTGAACATATTCTATAACTATCAAGAAGGCTTTGGTGACTAACTTGGACTACCCATGTGACACAGCTATGGAGCCAGAGAAAGTTGGTCAGCTTTGTTGGCCCCCTGGACATAGTTCTACTCACAGAACTATCAGATTGTAAGTGGTACATGGATGTGATTGCACAGCACACACTGAAACCAGGATCCCTAGCAGTAGGAACAGGTACGTCAGCAGATAAAGGAAGAGGAAGTTTGCCTGGAATTGCCATAAGGAAGCCATGAAACTGAGGAGGATGAACTGAGATAGGTGGAATAATTCCAAACAAACACAGCTATTATATCTCCTAAGATCCAAACCAGAAGGTAAACACAACAGTGAAACCTTATGCTCTGACACAGCTCAAATTGCAAATTAATAATTCTATCCTACTGTCATGGTTTATGTTTGTGGCCCCCAGGCCTCATGAGTTCATTTGTGATGGTTCATTGTATAGTTCTTGGATTGATGGTGTCAGTGTTCCACCCACAAAGGGGTGGAGCCAGGATGTGATGTAATGGCAGGAAGAAGGTGTGTCTTGCTCTTTACTGGTTCCTGTTTGCTGTTGACAGCCACCATGAGCTGCGGCCCAGCCATGCCCGCCTGCCTTGGAGCCAACTAAGTGCGGACTGAAACTTCCAAAAACTGTAAGAAATAAACCTTTCCTTTCCCAACCTTGGGCTTCAGGTCTTTTGTCTCAGCAACGAGTAAAAAGTAACTAAGACACCTACCAAACAGCTTCTTAGAACAAATGAATGGTGTCATTACCATTTCTTGAATGTAAAGGTCTTATCATTTACCATCTGTATACAGTAAAATAAAACCTACATAAGAAAACTGAAAGTCAGAGTTTAGCAACAACTTGGGAATAACATTTTTCTGTTTTATGAAAATATAAGGATTATTTTGGCAAAGTATTATATTGATTTTAATTAAGAAAAAAGATAAATTATAGAAGGATGGCCTACAGAATTACAGGGGAAGCTTTCCCTAGGAAAACTTCCCAGTTCTGAGCCTGCACATACACTGTGTGAGGGATAAATGATTAAACTTTGGTGTAACTCAGGCTCTGTGAGAAGTGAATGGCTAAGCAACGGACAGGTTTAGATTCATGAGGCTTGTTGCTTCTGACCATTTTCTTCCCATTTTCCCACACAAACTGAATAGCCTTGAGATAGCTCTTTACCCACATTATTTTTTCTATGCTGGTTTCACTAACTCTGACATTCTAAATGAAAACTGGGCAGGGATTCTCCTGGGAGTCCTTCTTTTTTTTTTTTTTCTGTCTTTTTCCTTTTTATCGGTACCGAGGATCGAACTCACGATTGCCTCCTTGCAAGGCAGGCGCTTATGCCACTGAGCTAAACCTCCAGCCCCCAACCCCCAGGAGTGCTTCTAATGCTGGGTGCTGTTGGTTGGTGTAGCTCCTCTGTGCCCCTTGGTGCTTGAGTAAGTCTCACCTCTAAGCACTGTATGCCACCATGCTTGCTGATGGCACACGTAGGTCCCTATGGGAGGAAAAAGCTGCTGCTGCAGGTCGGCGCAGAATACTGCCCTCCCAAAGCCTGGAAAAGGAACAAGGACTTGTCTGACTCCTCAGCCCAACAAGGGGACAGAAACAGCTATGGGACAGCCTGGCCTTGTTACCGCAGGTATGAATACAGGGTTTATGAGCCCAGAGTTCTTTTAACTGTCCAACTGCTAAATAGGCAGAGGCACTTCATGTGAATTTCTTTTTCTTCCTTCACTTTTATTTCTCATATTTTCCTTATAATATGAATCAATTTTAGGGGGAAAAATCAATGTACACCATGTTTATAATGTGTCTTGAAAACATGAGTGGAAAAAAATAGAATGCAATGAAGTGGAAAAAGAAGAAAAAATGAAAAATGAAAAATGTAAAAGTCTGCCTGCTTCAGCTGCACATATACTAGAACTGGAATGATACAAAGAAGATTAGTGAGGCCCTTGCAGAAGGACCACACATAAATCTGTCAAGTGTCCCCTGGCTTTTGGCTGCTCCCTTTCACAATCTATAGAAACCAGTCACTTTCCAGCATGTGTGCATGCTGGAGAAAATTTACTTCTCAAGGCTTAACCTGTCTGAGAAGTTTGCATTCTTTCTGCAAATGAAAGTGCTGTTTTGGTGCCATTGCTCCTGAACAAAGGTAAGGCATGATGTGTGTTATGCTGGTGAAACAATACTTCTCGTAATGATTAGTTTATTCCTATGAGAATTTCTCTTTAGCTTTTTATTTCTTTTTCCTTGTACTTATGCTACCCCTTCTCATTAGACAGACAAGCATAGAGCTCTTTGCTATTTTACTAGCACCAAAGAGTCAGTACAGAATGTTAGGGAGGGGCTCCTGTAGCTGATCAGGGTGCAGAGGGGGCAAAAAGCACAAAATGCCCTAAATAATTTCATGCGGCGGTTGGTCTTTGGTTTTTGACTGTCATCTGGCATAGCTTTTTCATTTCCAGGCATTGACAAAATATAAATACACACTGAAGCCTGCGAACCGATGCCACACATGGGCCGCTGTGGGGAGAGCCAGATGCCAGCTGCACTGGGAAACAAGACCAAACCCCATCCACCTTCCCACCATCATAAGCAACCGGCTGATTGGGAGAAATACAGGTTGTGATGATAGCTATTGAAGTAAAATACAACTTAATGCTTGTAGCAGTTAGTGTTTATTTTGCAGGTCTAGGGCCAGTGGTCTGATCATCTAGGCAGAGTTAAGATAACGGTACACAGTGTGGCATTTAGAGGGGGATCTTTCCTTCTGAAGGTGGTAGTCATTGTTAATTCTCTATTATCTTGTTTTGAAGTCCTATATCATTTTCATTGTTTTGTTGGGTTGGGTTTTGTTCTGTTTTGTTTTGTTTGATTTTATTTTATGTGATGGCATGGGCAGCTATCTCAAAGATAACAAGATCTATTATGGTTGCCCAGCACTTGGGAGGCTGCACAGGCTGCCTGCTCACCTGAGGCAAGCCTAGTCTACCAAGTGAGTTCAAGACCAGCCTGAACTACACGGCGAGACTCTTGTCTCTAAATAAATTAGTTAATTAATTAATAAGAACATAACTAGAATGAGATGATATCTCAAAAAACCCTTAGGCCTAAATTGTTACTATGTGCAAGTTTTATATTGATATCACAATTAGTAAATGTGCTTAATGTATCATCCAACAAATGTCACATAAAATACATCAGTGGACACATCTAATTCTTCTTAGATGACACTCTACTGAAAAATGACAAATATCTATAAAAGTTTCTTCATATCAAGTAATTTAATGAGGGTCATCCTGATTGCCATAATATGTTATACTGTCCTTGTTCAAGTCTTCTCTCTAAAACTTTCTAATTTTTAAATATTAAGTATTAACATTCTAGAGGAGTTTAACTTCTATAACAATCCTAAGTAATAAAAAATAACAGTTGCTACTCTGAACTTGTCCCTGGTTTGGCCTATATTGTGGACATCCTAAATATGATCAAAGCTATCCTTATTCATGATAAAAATGCTGAGTCTCTTTAACATGGTCTCTAGCCTGCTGATTAATGGCAATGCCAATTTTCTTACAAACTTTGTCATCACTATGACATGTTCCAACATTTCCTGGATATCCCTTATAAGTGCAGGAGACAAGCCATTATAGAATGATCTGGAGACCTCATTAAAACTAAATTTAGAAATTAAAAAGGGGGAATACTTGATAAGAATTTAATTTCCCAAACTTTAAATTTTCTAAATTGTGATGCAGAAGGTTTCACAACATTGCATGAGTAAGACACCAATCTTCTGAGAGACACAAAGCACAACAGTTTTTATTCTTAAAACTCGGGTTCTTACAAAGATCATATAAGATGCTTACATCTCCAGTATTACAATGGTAAAAAGGCTTCCTATTTTTTTGTATTTTTTGACACATATACCTCAACGAAGGGACATGGTTTATTGGATACATGTTCTTAACACACTTGTCTTAGATATAGTTACATAGAAAAATTTAAAAAATCAACTCTTTCCTCAAATAAATCCTTACATACAGACAAAATTTACCCGATACATTCTGATCACTTAAGGGATTGTGGGAAGGACTACAACCACTATGGCTATTCCAATGGTCTGTACCTCATAACCCAAAAAAAGATATTCCCAGACAAGAGATCTTCCATTATGTACAGCGCAACATCAGAGAATAGTTACTATATTCTTTTCCTTCATCCATGGTATATGTAAGGATTTACTATCTCTCAAACATTATCATATCACAGTACTCAGATAACAAGCCAATATGTGGTTACTAATCAATCTCATGGGAATGGTTAAAGAAAATTCAGCCCAGGGGCTGGGGGTTTAGCTCAGCGGCATAAGCGCCTGCCTTGAAAGCAGGCAGTCGTGAGTTCGATCCCCGGTACCGATAAAAAGGAAAAAGACAAAAAAAAAAAAAAAAAAAAAAAAAAGAAAATTCAGCCCTTACACACCAACACACACACACACACACACACCCCTCAGTATCCAAACTGATTACACAAATACATTTTATGGACATTCATTATGTGAAGCTGCAGAAAAAAACCTACTGTTGTCATGCTATCTCATTCCACTGGAAGTGATCTAACTATGAATAGTTATTTCTAAAATAACACCTCTGAATTGCTAACTCAGATGAACACCGGTTATAAAAAGTTACAATAACTTAATGTCTTTGTAATAACGCTCATTTGTCTCAATCAGCATCAAAAAGTTCTCAGGACAGTCAACTTAGTAGCGATGTGAGTTATTGTTCTGTGTGCATCGCATCTATCCCATAGGACCATTCAGAGTCCTAAGAAGTCCTGCCTGTTCTCCATGGTGCTTTACATACAAATCTGGACAGAGAGATTACTAATGTCCAAGGCTGACTGCAAACCCAACTCCATAATTACAAATGAAAACTTAGCATATCAATTTACATCTTCTGAATGGTATTCCCTACTGTCTAAATTCTAAAAATGTATTTTATGACCTTAATACTCAGACTGGCATTGTTAGTAGTATTGAAATTATCTTTCTGTGCTTTCCTATTACAGCACTCTGTTCCCTTCTATGCTGTTCTGGTGGATGCTCCATATCCAACATGTGATGACCTTTGCACATCAAGACCAGTCTGCTCACCACAGTGAGGATGGAGCACAGAAAAACAGGAGGAGCCACAGACAAAAACAATTTCCTAGGAAATTTCTCATGGGAACTCCAACACAAGCCTCACTGCCGTGTAGCACACCCTGCTGCTGAACATACCAACGGGTGAATCAGCCAAAACTGTACAGTCCATACAATCTAATCCAGTTTAACACAAAAGATATTTGGAAGGTATTTGACACGTAAGTCACATGAGGTCTGCTGTTGAAATAAAAGTCGGGGACTCAAAGGCTGGCTGAGGGCCGCTTGACACAAACATCACAGAGTCTGCAGATCCACCAAAGCTGTCCAGAAGTCAGCGCCCACTATTACGATAATTGGGGAGCAGGCCCTGAGCTGCCCATGACAGCGCTTAGGACATGCTGAAGTAACCTCCTTTACACAGCACAGGATGCTGAGGGTCTTGCAGAGGAGAACAAAGGCATAAAAGCAGCAAAGGACACACAGGAACGAGACACCTCAGGTGACGCAGAGGTCTAGGTCTTGTCAAAGCTGCTTCTGTCCATATGCAGCTGTCCACCTGCCTTCACCACAGCCTCACTTCTGTCTGGGGTCACTGGTCCCTGCATATCACCATTTCCAGGATTAGAGTTCTCCCAAGGCCCCATCCATAAAATATGCTGTCAGTAAATGTCACAGAGCCAGGCAGTGTGAGCCAAGTAGTGTGGTTTTTGCAGCACACTGGGAGCTTGACTTGGGTTCCAGGTAGAGGAAGAGTCAGAGTCCTCTGTCGACAGTGTGCCTGCTTACACAGTTTATGGGGCACAAACATTTCTTCACTGCTGCACTGCTGCTCCATTTCTTGCCCCCTGAGCTAAAAAAAAGGATAAGAGTAAATATACACTACCTCTTTCAGAGGAGCACAATGACAGCGTATAGTGAAAACTCTTTCTGACACAGGTTTCCACCTAGGATACTGACTTCACCCAGCACAAGGGGTCACACATTTCACTTCAAGTTTCCCAAGTGTTGCCACTGTCTTACTGTACTCAAAGGGCCCGTCCTAATTGCTGTCCCTGACAGTCAGCTCACAAGTTTAACCCTGCACTTCTACATTCAGTATCTCATCGAGTAAACTGCAAAACCAAAAGAGGTAGTGGGTCACAGGCCAGGGTAAGACACAAAGAATGGAAGGAAATATTTAAAGTTGTCAGAGGATAGAAATTCAAATGAGGACCTTGGTTTTATGGGACAGCCTTTCCCACCCTTATCTCTTAATCTACTAATTTTCAAAAAAGAATGCAAAAACATGCTAAAAGAGAAAATAATGATCTAATACATGGGAAAACTGGCATAATATATGAACAGTATTTTGCAAAATAAATCAAGATGGAAAAAAAGGAAACATTTCACCTGCTCAGGCAAGCAAACTTCTTCTGCCAAGATCACAGACACATACAAATTAAGTTCTGAGTTCTGATCATGTTCTTCACCAGGGGGACCAGAACAACTGTTCAAAAACAGCAGCACCCTTAATTACCTTCTCATGGGAGGCAGGGTCACCTAAGCATTTATCACTAGGAACTTACTATAGCATAATTTCCTCACTTCAAAGTGTGAAAGCCAGGTTCAGTGATAGAACTCAACAGCATATCACATGGCTGGTAGGTACAAGGCCTTGAGTTTAATTCCTGGTACAAAAAAAAAAAAAAAAAAGAAAGAAAGAAAGAAAGAAAGAAAGAAAAAGGAAGGTTTCAAAGTCCTTCTCAATTTCACTCATTTCATCAAAGACAAGGTCTGACCTGCAGTCCTGTGCCAGGTCATCTTCAAGGTCAGCCTGATAGGCTTGAGAGACACCAAGGATCTGAGTAAAGCTCACCTCTGGTGGAAGCACAGCCCCCCAAATCATCAGCATATGAGGTATTTTATCTCATTTTTCTGCAGTTTGTCAGTCAGCAGTCCTTGTAGAGCTGCTCTATATGCAAGAATGACACAGACAAAAGTTTTGCATCCGGAAGTCCAAGAAGTCCATCACTTTTCAATGTGGGCCTCAACTTAAAACTACTGCCCTTAATCTCCAGTAGCTGAGCCCATGTTATTCACCTAATTGAAATCGATAGTGGTAAGTTACATAAGTCAAAGATGTTCCATCCAAGTCTTTTGCACTAAATAAGAGCTCTTGTTTTCTTTCTGAGTTCATCAACTAAGTAGATAGAAAATATTGTGAGTCATTATTTTTTATTAGAAAACCCTCCTGTAGAGCCCGTGATTTAGCTCTGTGGCATAAGCACCTGCCTGGCAAGCATGAGATCGTGAGTTTGATCCCTGGTACCAAGGGAAAAAAAAAAAAAAAGACAAAGAAAAAGAAAACCCTCCTGCAAATTGTAGCCCAGTGATAGGCACAACATTCTAGATTCAGCCCTCATACTGCAACAAAATGCAAGCAAGAATCTTATTTTTAGGCAGAAATCTTATTTTTACATGACAAAATATACAGATCCACTAATAAGTGAATTTTATGAAAATGAACTTGATTTTGCATCACAGACTTTCAAAGGTAGACTCCACATACTGGAGAAACATACAACATATGAAAATAAAATCCAGCTGGGCATGGTAGGGTACTCCTGTAGTCCCACCACTTGGGAGGCTGACGCAGAAAAATCGTTTGCGATTTCAAGACCAGCCTGGACTACAAAGTCAGCCCAAGGTCAGCCTGAACTACATAACGAGACTGTCTCAAAAAGATTAAAAAAAAAAAAATCCAGAAAAAATATAAGAAACTCAAAACGAAGAACATCTTCAAAAATAATTTTTCTCAAAAATAAATTTTTAAAGAAAAATATGCTACAGTGCCTTTGAAAAGATACAAACATAACTTAGAATTCTTGCAAGGTGAATAATACAGTTTATGAAGTTAACATGTAACAAAAAAGGAATCTAGCATTAACAAACTTTTAAGTAATGCTGATTCTTTAGAAGTGGCAATGAAATACCTAGAAAAAAGCTTTATTAAAAGAAAAGTGTACTCATCTCAAATATGACAATACCACATAGGCAGATAATTGACAGAAGGACTTAGGAAACAAAAAAACTAGCCTATCACAGAGATGTAGAACACAAAAAATGAGAAAAACATTTCAGTTTCACAATGAGTCTATGATGCTCATCAAACTACAGAAAGCCAAGTGCTGGCTGAAAGTTAGAAATGGAAACTTGCATTGCTTGTGGTGTCTGCAGATGGTGCAGGTCAGCACTTGAGATGGACACAGGCTCTGTGCACCACCAAGAGGCTCCAGAGCCTCATGGCATTGTCTCCCACCTGCCAGTGCAGAACTGGGCAGCCCCTCCCTTCCAGAACTGCGGAAAGGCAAATGAGATGTCATGGGCAGGGACACTGGAGACCATGCTAGGAGTTAACATGGATGTACAGGGACAGGGATATGGCTCAGTGGCACAGCGCCTGCCTCGCAAACTCGAGGTTGTAAGTTTGACCCCTAGTACCAAAAATAACAACACAACAGAACACAACCCAAAACAACCACAACAAAAAACATGCGTATAAAGCAATTCAAAACAGTCTAGAATATAAAACTGAGTTAATTTAGCTATATACAAGTAAATTCTTCCAGTTTGGTCACACTAATATTTCCATTAGTGTGATATGTATGCTAATATATATGCTGAGGAATTCCAACACGTTTAGAGTGTGGAGCACTCTCTGGGCTTTACAGCCAGTATAACAAATGTCCATAAAGCCATAGGCTGTAATCTACTAGCAGGGGCCAAAGGGTGGAAGGAATACAAAACTGCAGCAGGACAGTAAAGGAGATCACTAGTGATACTGGGGGCACTTTCTAGTATGGGTTCACCCTGTGTGCTGTGTGGTATTGATCAGTATCCCTGGCCTCCATCCATGAGCTGCTCTCATACTTGCTCATGCTGTGTGTTATGATTTCAACATATTTCCTGATGTGCACAATCACCTATACCTGAAAACCACAGACTTAGCAGGTGCAGTGGGCAAATATGCAGCTAAGTGACAAAAGACACAGAACAGGCAAACAGAAGTCACAGGAGATGGAAACTCTCTAGCTTTGCATACCACACCCAAGCTCAGTGGCTCTCCCCAAAGTACCTGCTCTCTGTACGCGCACGCTCCCTTCCCTATCCTCACTACCTGCATTACATTTCAGCCAGGTGCTTACACCACTGAGTGAAATCCCCAGCCCCTGCACTACATTTCAGATATCAGAAGTGTGAAGAAAGAATGGGTTCTACAGCTGTACAATGATATCCACAAGGTCACATAGAGGCCCGGCTAAAATGTTCCTTGAAATGAAGCTCTGTGCATTATCTCAACTTTGCCTTTGATAACAGGCCATTCCCCTAGGCTCCTCTACAACATCAGCGGGGCAGATCTGTGGTCAAACTGTGGACAACCGAAGACAGCCTTAAAGAGATTACAGGAAATGCAATTTCTTGGCATTTATGGAACAAGGAAGAAAGGTTTGAGATCATCTCTTTCCAGAGAGATATCAATCTTTTCAAAGGGGAAGGAGTTGTGGAAGCGATGGTGATGGATATACCTGCCTTTAGTACACTAAGATGGTAAAAGACAAAGTTAGGTTACAACTGAGCAATCCAGTGCAGAAAGGTAGCTAATGCTTTACTTTTAAGAGTTAGAAGAGCCCCCATAATCAGTATAAATTAAGACAAGTCATTTAAATGTTTTCTCTTTGACATTGCATAAGCTTGGTATCTTCTGTTCAATGTACTCTGCCCTGTGTCTGCCCACTGAAAATTTGCAACCTATCTTCCTCACTTTGGTGATATATGAGAAGGGCACCTCTCCATAAAATTCTCTCTCACATAGCCCCCAAATATACACAAAGACCATCAGTGTTCTACTATGCTTTTTTTTTCTACCATGCTCTTGATTTGGTTGCTCTGAAGAATCTATTTAGTAGAGCACTCAAAACAGGAAACACACTGGGCATGGCGGCACACAACTGTAATCCCTGCACTCGGGAGGCAGAGGCAGAAACATATTTATTTAATGTTGAGAGAGGGTTTCACTTCAGTTATCCAGGATGTGCTTGGTGATGTAATACTCTTGCCTCACCTCTCGGGTGGACGCCATTAGGTGTCCACCACAATAGCTCAGTAATATTTACTTTTGGTAAATCTTGGTGATTTAAAAACTTCAATTTTAAACTAGCAAAGTAAGGGGCCGGGGACTTCGCTCAGTGGTGTTAGTGCTTGCCTGGCCAGTGCAAGTTGTGAGTTCCATTCCTGTTACCAAAAAATAAAATAAACTAGCAAAGTGGCAAAGGTCCCTCATCCCAACTTACAAGGAGGTACAAAAAGTATCAAAGGCTTTCCATCACTTGGACAATTTAGCACCATGTGATCTCAAATATTTAAAAAGAAACAAACTTTTAAGGGACATAGTTGAGGGAAAAATCTTCTAAGATCAGTCCCTGTACAATAATGAACATCAAAAACATATTGAAATCTTTTAGGGGCTGGGGATTTAGTTCAGCAGCATAAGCGCCTGCCTTGCAAGCAGGCAGTCATGAGTTCGATCCCTGGTACCGATAAAAACGAAAAAGACAAAAACACACACACACACACAAAAAACCAACATTGAAATCTTTTGAAAGTAGGAGACTAAATCCCATTCAACCTCAAAGATGACATTTACAATATTTCAAACTTAGAACAAGACCAGTTTCCTAATTTCCAATTTTGAATCAAAAATGATTAGACGATCCAATAAGTAGTTATTGAAGAAATGTTTATCCATTCATAAATGCCCCTCCATTCTTTAAGTCTGAGTAGTGACCCAATCTCAGACCAAACCAACAGACAATTCTACATTTTCTATTACACTGTAAAAAATCTGGAGTCACAAGGAGTATACTGCTGTAGTTGCTGATTTATGCCTCACTCCAATATCCTCTGTTTACCCATTTGCTTTTTATTCCTCTTTCCTTTTGTTTTTTCCAAAAATCTTTTATTCTACTCATTCAAATGGCTGCAGAATTTAACTATGAGAATTTATTCCCACTTCAAAAATTGTATTTGTGAGCTGGGCATGGTGGCACATTCCTGTAATCCCAGCACCTGGAAAGCTGAGGCAGGACTGCCATCAATTTGAGATCAGCCTGGGCTACAAAGTGACTTCAAGTTCAGCCTGAACTACAAAGTGAGACCTTATTTCAAAAAAACCAAAGAAAAAAATTTGCATTTTTGTCTCTATTTTGAGACAGTCTCACTATGGTAGTACAGGCTGTCCTTGAACTCAAGGATAATCCTGTCACAGTTTCCTAAATGCAAGGATTGCAGGTGTGCATCACCACACCACACTCAATACTTGATTTTACAATGTGCATCTCTATCAAGTTTCAGTTTTTAAAACAATGTGTAGAAAAGGACCACAAATTACTTCAGTTATTACAGAAATGAATCCCAGGGGCTGGGGATTTAGCTTAGAGGCATAAGTGCCTGCCTTGCAAGTGTGTGGTCGTGAGTTCGAGCCCTCATACCGATAAAAACGAAAAAAAAAAAAAAAAAAAAAAAGAAAGAATCCCCTTTCCCTTTCCACTCAGATCAGTATCACACATATGCATCCCTGCGAGGCCACACTTCCATGTGCACTTTCTCTTCCCTTGCTGATAGATGAACATCCCCATTGCCTTCCTCAGTATTCTAAATTCTAACCAAAGTCTTAATTTGTTTAAAAGCAAAGAATAATTTGCTTGCTTAGCATATGAACAAGGCTCTAGCTAGGGAATCACCTCACCTCAGGTAGAGTTGGGAATTTAGCCATTTAAAGAAGAATTAAAATAATAGAATTACCTCCAATTCAGGAGCAAGAGTGAACTTTCTGCCCTACAAAGTGTGATGCCAGCTCCCTACTAAAAGGAGTGCCTGCCACGAAAATAATCAGGATTTTTCTCTAAAATCCCTGTCTGCTTTAAAACGTGTATGCTGAGGAAATCGGTTATGGATCCCGAGTTGAAAGTGGTGTTTTAAATCCCGAGAAGACTCATCTTTAACAGGGGGTCTCTAGGCAACAGAACAGCTAAGGTGCTCTGCTTATCTGTAATTAGTTTGTTGGGAATGAGGGTGCGGCCGCATGGACCCTCCTTCAGGATTTTTTCTGGAAATCTGGCAGCTCTTCTTAAATAGTTTGCAATCGAATCTCTCCTAAGACTCACCTACTGGTTCACAACCGTATATCTCAGTGTGGTGAGACCACGAGGGCCGTTCGTGCAGTAACAGCACAGTGAGACCAGGTCTATATAAATACTGAAAGAGATCGGTGTTTTGTCCGCTGAGTGCAGCACAGAAGTTTCCCGGCCTGGTGGCGACACAGCTGTGCCCGGGGTCACTCAAAAAAGGCATTCTGGGCGGGGAGTACCGAAGGAAATAAATGCGAGCAAAGCAGAAAAGGGACGCAGATGACCCAGAATCAAAGACCAGGAAGAAGTCGGTTTCTCAATACAGAGGCTGTTCCTTGCCACAGCTCACTCTGGCCCCCTCCTGCCAGAACTCACTCGACTCCACCTGGTCCCTGCACCCATCCCACGACCTCACCATCTTATGCATGATCTCCCAGGACCGTTCCAACGCAGGCTGCAGCCGGCAGAAGTCATAGGAAAGCGTGGGCCAGTCAGGTGCGGGCTCTCAGCACTGAGCTCCAGCTGCGCGGCTCAGCGCCATGACACAGAGGCGCCGCTCTCTCTCAACCCACCTGATTGGTTGGTTCACACAGCCCGCGTCTGCATCGCTGATTGGGTCCTGCTCCATTGTGGGCTGGTGATTAGAGAAGCAAGCTTCTCCCTGAGTGGGTGAAACTTAAAGGACAAACTGTAACTCAGGAGCTTGGGGGGCAATTTCTGTGTCAGGGTGACAGTCACCCTTTCCGTGAAGAATGCTTGCATTTAAAGGCTTCAGTTATGCATTTCAAACATTCCGTGGTTTTCTTAATGTACGTCGGGAAGTCTTCATGAAAGTCGGTTACAAGTGTGATCAGAAAGTTCCAGGGTCAGTGTCCTATGGAAGAATGAATCCCTTGATAGCAGAAAACATACAGTCAGGGGCTGGGGATTTAGCTCAGCGGCATAAGCACCTGCCTTGCAAGCAGGCAGTCGTGAGTTCAATCCCCGGTACCGATAAAAAGGAAAACAAAACAAAACAAAACAAAACATACAGTCTAGATTAGCCCAGCATAAATTACAAAAGGCAAGGTCTGTTTTTGGACATGTGGCAGTCAGATCCATTGTCAAGATTTTCATACTGTCTCTCAATCTTTACATTTTTTCCCATGAAAATGAAAATAAGGCCCCTAAGAGGAATACAATTTTTGTGTAAATAAAGGCATTGGAATCGCATGATAGTAAGATTTTGCAAGAGTAAAGATACAAGAAAAGTAAATATTTCAAATCCTTCAGACAAACTTCAGACTTTTCCCAGAAACTACTAGAATTTGGAAAATAAACATATGTCTAAGCATGAAAGCCAGAACTCTTGCTTAAACTGACATCAACATTTGATTCACCCAATCATTTCCTGGTGATGTGGCTGGTATAAAAAAGGATTTCAGCCAGTGAGCTCCCGCTGCCCTGTCTTAGTCCATCACAGGTTTAAATTATCCATCCTTCAACATTAATATTCCTAAAAAAATTACATGGGGCCAGGGTATTCACACTTCTTACAATTTGTTTTTGCTTGTGAGATGTGAAGAATATTAGTAGCATACTTCTTGGTGTATCTGATTGAGACATGACAGTGTGAGCAGAGGGAACAATTCTGGACCCTGGACCACAAACCTTTCCCTCAGCCTCTTTCCCTCCTCTCTGGATGCTGGCTGTCATCAATTAGGCATCCTTCTCCTTTATTTCTATTTAAAAAGCACCCTTCACTTTTTTTTTTTTTTAAACCGGTACTGGGGATCGAACTCACGACCGCCCGCTTGCAAGGCAGGTGCTTATGCCTCTGAGCTAAATCCCCAGCCCCACCCTTCACTTTTTAAACTCAATTTACTCACAAAGACTATTTGTGATTAGTGTTGTTTGTAAGTCAAGACTATTTTCCCACATGATATAATGAAATTGTTCGTAATATGTACTGAACCTCCCAAAGCACTCCGTAACTAATTTTTTATAATATACAGGGCTGTATGATGTGAATAATTTACTAGAATCACCAACCATTTTCCTAGTGTGTGCACCAAAAAGTTATGAATTGTGCCTATTTTACCAGAGACAACAATTTCATACTGTATTCAACATTGTAGTTCACATCTTTTGCACAGGAGAAATAGAGGCTGGTTATTTTTGGAAGGAGTTCCCTTCCATAAGAACACCAGAAATCTGGCTGTCTGGTCTGCTTTCTTTGCTTGGCAGACTATGTAGCCCACTAGGACCTACTTGTGGCTCACTAGGTCTCAAAATATTCAGAACTAAAAACTGGTCCGAGGTTGTCTATTTCTGCCTTTTGTTTAACTCATTTCTGTTGTAAGACATGACATTTTCATAAAGAAGGTAAATGCAATGATTGGCTTTTTCTCTGGGTGGGTTTTCTCTATGAATGTTTGTAGCTATATACATTTTTTTCAGAATTTATTTTTTTTAAAAAGAATTTTGCTGCACTCAGTATTGATACTCTTCCTCTTTTTTTTTTTTTTTTTTTTTTTTTTTAGTACTGGAGATCAAACTTATGACCATGCACTTGCCAGGCAGGCACTTATACTGCTGAGCTAAATCCTTAGCCCGTCTTCCTCTTCTTCATAAAGCTCCTCAACTGTCACTCTCTGTTGCTCAGCCAGAAGATGCTGAGCTTCTCTATGTGTTCCTATAGCAGTTTCTCAACATCATCACTGTTATCTTCCAAGTATATGGACTCTGTGACACTAAATCATCACCCATAGCACTCATTAAGGGCTCAAGTGCCTGTGCTCAGCCTTCAAAATCTCTCCCCTATCAAATTTTAGCCCACAAATCCTGAGTTCAGACCTCAGTGTCTTTAGGGAGGCACTGGCACAGAATTTTGTAATAAACCCCACATAGGAAGTGGTGTTATAATGTTCCTTCTTCAAATCTTTAGGTGTTACCTTGAGATAATCTACAAGCATTTGAGATACAGTTCCTTGGTGTATACCTTCTTAAAGGTAGCTATTATGTACTGGTCCATAGGCTGCATTAGAGTAGCTCTATTAGGAAAGAGGACCTGGACCGAGAGCCTTGGGAATTCTTCAGCCAATTCGTCTTCCTAATCTCCTGCGTGAGTAAGAGCATTGTACACAATGAGGAACTTGAGTGGTAAACATTTGTCCTGTGTATGTATGTATGTGTATATATATATATATATATTTTTTTTCTTTTTTTGGTATTGGGGATTGAACTCACAATCTTGTGCTTGCCAGGCAGGCACTTGTGCCACTGAGCTAAATCCCTGCCTGCCCCCCATATATTTCTTAATAGTGTGACAGAAAGCATTCCTTGCCCACTCAAAAAAATAATTATTCTTATATTCCAGGCTTTTGAATCAGATCTCCACAATGAGCCTCACCCTGTTCCTCATGATTTCATGTTTTCTAAACATTCTAGGGGTCTTAGAGTTGGAGAGAGAGAGAGAGAGAGAGAGAGAGAGAGAGAGAGAGAGAGAGAGAGAGAGAGAGAGAGAGAGAGAGACAGGAGACAGAGACACAGAGAGAGGGAGAGAGGGAGAGAGGGAGAGAGAGAGACAGAGAGAAGCATTTCCTTGAAGTTATCATTTACATGAGAAAAAAAACCTTATACATAAAAGAGTAGCCTATTTTTTTTTATAGGATTGTGGCCCAATGTTTAGATCTTTTGCTGAGTAATGTACGTTCTCCTGGACATTTTCTTCCACAGAAGTCCAGTTTCATCATAGTTGAACACTTGAGAAGTGCAAACTCCATTTCTGTTTGACTTCATTTCAAAGTGGTGTGTGTAATTTTCAGAAGCCCTTTTATCAACACTGGCTAGTTTATCATCTGTAATTATGCTATGAACTACAGTTCTTGCTGTAAAACTCTAGAACTACCCCTTATTGCCATGAAATTTTTCATCATTATCACTCATTGATAGTTTGTCCTCTGTGAAATTAGCATTTACACTCTAATTTTTTCACAAATTATAGACTCAGAGTATAACCTGACACTGACCTTTCATTTATCCAGATGAATAATAACCTCTGTACCTGGAATAAAACTTTTAATCACTATGATCTAATTTGAGTAAAACCTTAACAACACATGCTCCTTATATCAATCTTTTCTCTGTGAGACTGTCAAAATAGTGATATGGTGTTTATAGTAATGAGATCAGTCCTATGATCTCACCTTTCTATGTGTACAAAATTTCCTTCTTCTTTTTGATTGTGATTTTTAAAATCCTTCTTATGCTTCATTATTTCTTCTCTAGCTTTTTCAGACCATTTTGATAGCAGTAATGATAGCGATTACATAAAGCACTGACAAAATTCAAGCCACAAATACATGCTTCTAGATTCAAACTGATACATATGCTTTTCTGACATTGTGAGTGCTTATTTGCAATTGAAAAACCAGCTGGCATTTGGGTTGTAAATTAAGACATTGGTCATAAGATAAATCTAAATTTTTGGTAATTACCCAGGGTATTTGGAAGACCAGCCATCATGGCTTCCTATATCCATAATGCTCTCCAATTCCTCTCTTTCCATCATATGAGGACTTTGTACTTCATGGTGAAAATATGCTGTTGAGAGCAGACTGCGGCCCTTCCAGGGGGAGAACCACCAGCATCTCCTGAGATCCATGCCATGTTGGAACTTAGGACCCTGGGAAACCAAGCAAGCAGTTCGCCTCCCTGGTAAGCAGCCACAGTGTGGCAGACTGTGGCCCTTCCAGGGGGAGAACCACCAGTGTCTCCTGAGATCCACACCACACTGAAACTTAGGACCCTGGGAAACCAAGCAAGCAGCTCGCCTTCCTGATAAGTGGCTGTGGTGTGGCAGACTACAGCCCCTCCAGGGTGAGAACCACCAGTGTCTCCTGAGATCCACACCACACTGAAACTTAGGACCCTGGGAAACCAAGCAACCAGCTCACCTCCCTGTTAAGCAATAGTGAACCTACTGGTGCACAGCCTAGAGTCAAACATCCCACTTCTTCTATCCCCTTCCCCTGTAACCCTGTTAACAAATGGGAACCAGAAATCTGAGGATTTCTTGGGAGGTTGAGCATAGTAAATAACAGGATTCCTTCTACCATCTCTTTGAAGGCAAATATTTTTGTTACTGTTTTGCTTTATTCTGATTAATGGTACTGCTCTATTCAATATTCTGTTTTGATAAGTTCTATAATGTTTTGTATTTCATTTTATTTTGATATACGAACTATTGTAAGGATAATGAAATATACCGTGATACCTATTACTGTTATTCTGATACCCTGCTGTGAAGTTCTGTACTAATTTCACTACACTGTCTCAGTTGGCTTTATTCTGTCTTGTTCTGTTGTACTTTACTACTTTTAAAATTAACAAAAATGTGCTGTTGCACTCTGCCTTGGAGCTATGGAA